TGGAGTTACTGGAGCTGGAGGTGCTGCTGGAGCCGGTGCTGTAGGTTCTACTACTGCTGGGGGTGCTGGAGCCACGGGTCCCGGAGGTGCTCGTATTGGAGGTACTGGAGCTGCTGGGCCTGGTGGTGCTCCTGGTGCTGGAGCTACTGGTGGAGCTGGAGCTGGCGGTGCTGCTGGAGTGGGTGCTACTGGAGGTACTAGAGCCGGAGCTGCTATGTCTGCCGGTGGTCCTGCTGGAGCTGGAGCTGCTGGAGGTACTGGAGCTGGTGGTGCTGCTGGAGTTGGAGCTGACGCTGGGGGTGCTGGTGTTGTCCCTGCTGGTTCTGGAGGTGCTGCGCGGCCGCGGCCGTACTTCGTTCCGCTCCTTGAGCAGGTTCTTGGTCTTCCGCCTTCTTCTCCTCCTGCTCCTTCCTTAGAGTGTCCACCGCCTGTCCAGTCCGAGTCAGAGTTACAGCTCGCCCCCCCTCTACCTGCTCCTTCTCCCTACGCTGGTCCTACTGGAGGTCTTGCTGAGCGTCGTGAGCCTGAGTCGCGTCCTGCGTCACCTGTTCGTACTGCTCGCACTAGTCGTCATGTTCCACGTCAGCGTCCTCCTGCGGTCCCGGGCACGCATCAGATGGCACTGCGTCCTTCCACTGCACGCGAGAAATGTTGACGTACCTGTCACAATTGGGCATTACAGGAACCGTGACGCATGGCAAAGATTGATATGCGCGAAGCGAGAGTGGCGATAGGATTCCCCGTTTTGAGCCGTACTCGAATTCGGAAAAAAATATTTGAAAATCTTCAATTCTGGTCTTTACAATCCATTTTTGTGTGAGTTATAAATGTCCAGGGGTCTTATGCACTCGATGCCATCAGAGAAGACCCTACAACCCATTTTGAGCACATTTAGGATAAGACCCCCGGGTCTTCTAGGCGGGAGATCACGGTATTACTTTTGTGTATCCATCAGGGCGATGAGGACATATGCAAATCTGTACTCAGTTAGGCTACAAAATACGATACACCTACACATGTACAAAACGTGTACTGTCATCACCCGGATATAAGATAGTGTCGAATAGAAGACAGGGGGTGTCTATTATCCGGGTGTCTCTTATAAACGGGGTAGCCTCATTATAAGAGACCTACTTGTGTGTACGAGTTAAGCCAGTGTAGGGGTTAGGGGCAATTGTATAACGAAGGGGTATCTTCTAAACGGTTATTTGTCCATTTATAAGACTTATAAGACACCCTAAACCGTCCCAAATACAAGACAACCCAAGCATTTTTGCCCGTGTACGAGATAAGACATACGGTATATGTCTTATATCCGGGTGATGACGGTACTTTGACACCACGATAACAAGGCCATTATTCCAGCCCCCCCTGTAGGTTTCCTGCAAAATCCGTGGAATTTACTGGTGCATGACATAGGAAGGACTAGAAGATAAGAACCAAAGCACCCATCATTCAACTATGCCTCTACCTCGCCCAGGGTACATCTCTCTCAGGGTGACTACTCCCCACGCTAAGCCTACCAAGAGCCAACTGCAAACTTCCAGCTTAAGCAGCTTCACAGCCCCAACAAAGCCTTCTGGAAGAAAGCTTGCTTTCTAGAAGAGGGTGAGGCACCAAGCAGTGGACAATCAAGATCCTTCTGGACTTCCACCAGGAACGAGCTGCCAGTGGGAAACAGAGGAAGGTTGGAAGGGAGTGCAGGGAACATGCGGAGAAAAAGTGTTCAATTTTCATGTGCCGTGCCAGGAGAGCTGATAAAAACAGAGTGTTTGTGCTGCCTTATGCACCTGCTACATTTCTGTGTGTTTGAGGTCTTAGGAGGGTAAAGAAGCGGATCGGAATTTGACACCGTATGGAAACAGAAGGGGAAGGGGACTTAGATGGATCTGACGGAACCAGCGTTTTTTATTCTAGAGTCAAAATGCTACGTATTTTATGCTGGACGCGACCCTACTGATAATTTGACGGTGGTTTGACGTTCTGGCTGGCAGGCCAGAAAAACCTTTGGGCAGTAAAAAAAAAGCGGGGAGAGGGGGGGCAGGAGGGGTGGGAGGAGGTAAGGGGGTGGGGAGGTGATGCCCTGCTCTTCCCAGCCTCAACCGTAACATGCTCCTCCTCCTTCCCCCTCTACCCTTCTTCCCATCCCCTTCCTCCCACTGGCTTATCTCCCTTCTCACCCTTCACAACTTCCCCCTTCTCCTTCTTCTCTCCCGTACGCCTCTTCTCTCTCCCCCCCCCCCCCCCTACCTCTCCTTTCTCCCTTCTCTCCTCGACCCCTGTCCTTCCCTCTTCTGCCGTGTTTTTTGCCCTTAGATTGTTTTCGATTTCGGGGTGTCCAAAAAAAAATCAGGCAGCGTCCAGAGTCAAAACGTTCGTCCAACGTCCAGTGTCAAAACGTATCGTTTTGATGCTGGACGCGAGGCCTTCCTAGAGTCAAATCTATCTAAGGAAGGGGGAACGAGAGGGTGGAAGCTGGGAATATATTGGGGGTTGCAGTGTTGGAGTTTGCAATTGCTGCTGTAGAACAGGTAGACAGCAACCAAGCAAACATGAGAAGCAAAACAAAGCAATCAAGCAAAGAAATCAACAATGAGATGTATTGGGGAGAGGGAAGTGCATCTCACAATGGCGATGTTGTTGCCGTTGAGCAGTATTTGGTCCAGCTTCGTCACTCTGCTGCCTTCTACTGTGTGCTCGCTGCCATGCCATCGACACAGACAAGCATGACAGCAAGGCCACATGGTCGAGGATCGGAGAAACGTGCGTACATGGTATTTTCAGGGTTTGGAGAAACGGAGGTGCATTATATGGACTGGTGGAGGGGTCAACAGTTGCAAATAAGGTCCGAGAATATTGGTGCTCTGTCACAACCTCCAAAACCATGTCGCCTGTTGGAGGCGTACGTTGTTGCAAACGTGCACAGCTGGAAGTTCAAACGCACAACTCAATCACATTCTCAAAGCATCACGCAGCCAGATTATCACAGCTCGCACACTCAAATCATTCGCACTTTCCAACTCCAGCTGGTTTCAACTGTAATTCGGAAAGAAAAAGAAGAAGAAGAAGAAGAAAAAAACCTCACTACTCAGTGACGTCTTCGAGGACCATGTTGACGAACACGTCGAAGCCCCTCAGAGTGCCCACCAGCTCCTTATCGCCCTTCATTATCACCCAGATCTTCGACCCTATGCACCGGTCGATCAACTCTGCCGCGTGCACGCAACACAGGGGTTGGGGCAACGCGTACGGTTTATATCTTCATGCTCCCTATATCCCAACCCCACTGCACAAGGGACTAACACCCGCCAACACATGATAACATAGTCGATTCGTATGGACTTGAAGCGGAAGCAAGCGGCGAGATTTCCATACGAGGAGCGAGCATCGAACGCATACTACGAGCGCGGCTGGTCGTATCCGTTGCAAGTAACGCACCTGTGGGCATGAGATGGCTCGGATTGTGCGCCATTGTAACGACGGAAAGAGTGCTGCAAAGCTCAAGACAAAGGAGATGATTCCTAACACCAATGCCTGCGCTGCTCGAGGGAATAGTATGGCGCAAAATGCGCTGTCGGCATCACAAAAAAATCAATATCAGCCTTGTGTGAGGGCAGGGGGTTCAATTTTAGGGTTGGAAGTCAGGCTGTGTAACGTTTTTGCGAACGTCCGGACGTTCGGGGTACGGGCAGGTGGTTACAAATTTCTGTAATAATCGCCAGTGATTTCTTCTAATCAATTGCGACGTAGCAGGCATCCGGACGATTTCTGACGATTCCGCCCTACTTGGTCGCCGATTTCAGTCTATACACGGTCCGTTTGGAAATCAGACTGTACGACAATGTGCCAAATCCGTTGTCTTAAAGCGACGGGCAACTTTTGGCAGTGTTGGGTTCAGAAGTTTTTTTTTTGAACCAGGCTTGCCAGCGCGAAAGTGCTGGCTGGCGAAAACCAGGATTTCGTGCGGACACTTTCCATCCGCAGTAACAGTTCGCCAGGGTTCTGGGTTTTGGGTGGCAAATGTGCACCGTCGCTTTAACCGGCAAAATGGTTACAGGCCCTAAGGGCGGGTCCATTCGTCACAGCTCAGGTCGATATTGGTCACAGTACCATGTTTTGTAGAATAACCGCGTCAAATTTTGCGATCAGCCAGGAGACGCGCTCGTTTTTTTTTCCGAAAAAGGTGTTCACGAAAAAGCTATAGCAAATCAAACTCTCACACACACTCCCCAGAGTGTTTCCGTGAGAGCGAATTGGAGTTTTTTCGTCAAACCTGAATCTGTCGCGCAACATTTCCGATTCCCTTGAGGGGTTTCTCGAAACACTGGTTACTCCAGACGAAGTCTGCCGATTTTTAAAGTCCAACCTCACCAACCAACTGAACCGTACATCCATCCACGCTCTGAAGGATTTCTTCTGTTGGACATCCTGTGTATTTTGCTTCTATTGTGGTGCTCTGATGAGACTCGGACGTCATGTGGGTCCTAGGAGTCTAGGGACCTGGTTTCAGCCATTCTGTCGCTCGACAAAAAAGGCAAACGCTTTAGCGTTACTAGAACAGGCGGCAGCAGCAGGGTTGGGTTTGAACTGATGTAGTCAGGTACAGTAAATGATGGATTCAGAGTCCGCTCACCACCAAGTACTCCTGTGCCTTGAAATGTGAGAGCTTCGCCTGAAGCTCCAATTCATTCAGTGCTTGGCTGTTATCGACCGGCTATCATTGATCCAATATGGATTCATCAAGACTCGTGGCTGCAGTTATTCTAGTCGTGTCCCTGTTTCAGCATTTCGTTAGTGTTCGCCCGTTATTAGCACGAGGTGACGGCGAGGGTGAAATCGGGACCGGAGTCGGCCTTAGCGCGACTTCCGTTCCAGGCGGTTCGCGGAACAAGTACGCTTACGTCACGCTGTTGTGCGATGACGTCATGGCAGAGGCGGCGATGGTGATGGTACACTCCGTACGCCGTACGGGCACGCCTCACGATATCGTAATACTCACCATGAACGTCTCCAATCGCACGCTAGAATCGCTGGTAGCCTTGGGGGCGAAGATCGAGCCCATTCTGGAGCCCGTGCCTTATCCGTTCGCCGTCACGGCGGACAGACTTGCCATCAACAAGCCGTGCAGGTAAGAGCCGATTTCTAGGCGCGTGCCTGTGCCTAGAGTACTCAAAGAACGATACTGGAACCCGTGCCTGATCCCTTTGCTGTTACCGCGAAAAGACCAATGTCCAAGCTTTGCAGGTACGAGCCAGATGTTCCTAGGAGCTTTGAGAAGTCTAAAAGGGAATAACCTTCTTGAGCTGGCATTGGATCTTAGAAGCATACAGTGTGGCAAGCAGCAAGCCATGCTTCTGTGTGTGACAGTGACAGTGAGGGAAGACATTTCCGTCCAGCTCACTGAGGCTCGTTTGTGCTTGAAGCGTGCAGATACTTCAAGCTGCTTATCTGGATCACGGTGTGAATCACCCAATAGGGATCCGACCGACACATGATTGGATACAGGACTGATTGCTCAACATGACCATTGTTGAAGAGTTCGTCAGAGTACAAGACAACCGGTGTTGTCACCGTGATCATCCACTCTCCACCTCATTCGTCTCTCTCATCCCTGCCTCCCTCCCTCCCCCCTTCGCAGGTATCCCAAGCTGCTGACGTGGAACATGGTGTGCTACCTACCGCACCGCAAGCGCATCTACCTTGACCTCGACCTGCTCGTGTCCTCCAATGACCGAGGAGGACCCATTCTCAATACAGATCATGTGACCGTCTGACCCCTCTCTTCAGGTACTCCTAGCTGATGTGCAACGTGGTGTGCTACTGCAAGCTTATGTGTCCGTTCCCTGCCTCCCTGCACACAAGTACTCGAAGCTGCTGATATGAAACATGGTGGGTTACCGCAAGCTCATCTACCCCTTGGTTAGAGGAAACAACCTACCAGTTTCCAAACCCCTCTCGCCAAATACCCAAAGCTGCTGATGTGGAACATGGTGCGGTACCACCACGGTCTGATTGATTGTGTCCTTTGAGTCGCCAATCCCCGTCTGTCCAACCCCTGCACCCACCAGGTACTCGAAGCTGCTGATGTGGAACATGGTGCGCTACCGCAAGCTCATCTACCTGGACTCGGACCTGCTCGTGCTGCACAACATCGACGACCTCTTCCACCGCCCGCAACTCTCCGCCGCGCCCGACACGCTGCCGCCCGACAAGTTCAACAGCGGGCTCATGGTGGTGGAGCCCAACCGCGCCATGTTCAAAGACATGCTCTCCAAGATCGTCACCCTCGTCTCGCCCAACGTGGGCGACCAGGGCTTTCTCAACAGCTACTTCTCGTCGTGGTACCAGCAGGGCCCCGTGCACCACATCGACTACACGTACAATGCGCTCGTGCGCATCTCCGTGTCGCCCGGCTGGCGCCTATTCATCGAGCCCAAGCTCAAGGTGCTGCACTTCTCGGGCAACACCAAGCCCTGGAACATGATGGTCGACCGCCAGGTGTGTGTGCTTCACCTCCCCCGCTTGGCTGCCTCCTCCTCCTCCTCCTCCTCCTCCTCCTCCTCCTCCTCCTCCTCCTCCTCCTCCTCCTCCTCCTCCTCCTTCTCCTCCCTCAACCCCTCCTTTTCCCCTCCCGTTCCTTTCAAAATCCTCTCCCTTCCCCTCCGTCCCCACGTCCTCCCTTGCGCCGCGGCAGTTCCCCACCACGAGGGCGTTCGACCACCGGTGGTGGGAGGTGTATGACGACGTCTACTCCATCCTGCACCGCCAGGCGCTCAAATCCTCCAAGTCCTCCTCCTCCTCCTCCTCCTTCAACTCCCGCTCCACCCTAGACACCACCGCTGCTGCCACTGCAGCTGCTGCTGAGAAGGCTGGTGGTGGGGGGAGTGGAGGGGTTGGGGGGGGTGGGGAGAGCTTGGAGGCGGTGGCGACTGCTGCCCGGCTGGCAGCAGCAGCGGCAGCAGCAGCAGGGTCGCCCTCGGAGCCGCCCCAGCTGGCGCCGCAGTGCCAGCGGAACTACATGGCGTATGCACGGTGCGTTGAGGAACTACAGAGTATGGTGTGTGGGTGGTGAGAGAATGGTGTGTGGGTGGTGAGAGTATGGTGTGTGGGTGGTGAGAGTATGGTGTGTGGGTGGTGAGGGAGTGGTGTGTGCTTGGTGAGCGGGTGGCGTGTGGTGAGTGAGTGGTCTCTTAACATAATTCGTAGAGTGCAGCAGACTCTGGTCAGGCAGGGTCAGAGCAAAAGGCATACGGTTGCTGAATGTGATGATATACTGCTACCAGCGCTCTCACCTTCTCTTCCTTCCTCTCACCCCCTACTCCCCATACCAAACCCATACCCATCATTCCCCACCCCACCCCCAACCGGGCAGCAAGCCACCGATAACGGACAAGTTCAGTGTGATCATCAACTGCTTTGACCGCTTTGACCTCATGCTCTACTTTGTGCGGCGCTACGCGCACTTTGAGTTCGTGCACAAGGTGTACATCGTGTGGGGCAACACGCGCGTCACGCCCTTCCACCCCTCCTACTTCAACGTCTCCAAGCCCGTCGAGATCCTCTACTCTGGCATCGACTCGCTCAACGACCGCTTCAAACCCATTCGGTCAGTGGAAAGATGGCCATACTCCTCCCTTCTCGCCCTGCCATTCTCTTTCTCGCCCTGCCATTCTCTTTCTTGCCCTGCTAATCTCTTTCTTGCCCTGCCTCATTCTTGTCCTCTAGATTCCCCATTCACGCGTGCCCCTCTCACTGCATTCTGTTCCCCCAGCTCCCTGGAGACAGAGGCAGTGCTGATGTGTGACGACGACATCGAGGTGCATCCAGGCGCGCTGCGCGTGGCGTTTGAGCGGTGGCAGGAGGAGAAGTACCGCCTCGTGGGCTTCTTCCCGCGCGCGCACTACCGCGAGGTGAACGGGCCGCGCAGCGGGCAGATGACGTACGTGCTGACGCCGCGGCAGGAGTACAGCATCGTGCTCACCAAGATGTTCCTCATGCACGGCGACTACCTGCGCGCCTACACCTGCATCATGCCGCAGCGCGTGCGCGAGTACGTGGAGCGCAACAAGAACTGTGAAGACATCACCATGAACTTCGTGGTGACTCAGCTGTCAGGGCTGCCGCCGCTGCTCATGGAGGACCCCACGAAGCTGGACTACGGCACGTCGTCCGGGCTGTCGTCCCGAGGGAGCCACGACAACTCCAGGTGAGCGGCTGGTAGGAGTGAGTGTGAGTGGTGCTCAAGTGTGGTGGGCAACGGTGATGTTGGCAGGAATCTAGCCTGCTCATGAAGGATCCGACAAAGCTCGAGTTTGGCACGTCCTTGGGATTATCGTCGAGAAGGAGCCATGTCATTGCCCTGTGACCGTACCAGTCTCCATGCCAGCGCGCATGTGTGAATTTTGATGTATCCTTCTGCATGTGTGCTGCGCCTCCCTTCACCTCACCCCCAGGTCCGTGTGCATGAACGACATTGCCATCATGCTGGGGTACATGTCACTGCGCAACACATCCGAGGCCGTCACCTTCTTCGAACGAGACAAGATGGTCAAGGCGAGTCAATAAGGGCATGCAGGGAATGGTCAAGGCGAGTCAATCTGTCAAAGTCAATCAGTAAATGGGATGCAGGGTTATTGAAAACGGCCGTATGTTTGGAAAATTCCTGTAAAAAAAGGCCGATTTAAACGGTTTAATACGGTTTCAGGAAGTGCTTTCCGTTTGGATTAAAATGGCCATTTCAAACGGTCTTTTTTTCAAACCAGGGGGGCGCCAACCCATGGGGCGAGTCATATTGAATGAGTCATTACAGTCATATTGAATGAGTCATTACAGTCATATTGAATGAGTCATTACAGTCATATTGAATGAGTCATTACAGTCATATTGAATGAGTCATTACAGTCATATTGAATGAGTCATTACAGTCATATTGAATGAGTCATTACAGTCATATTGAATGAGTCATTACAGTCATATTGAATGGGTCATTACAGTCATATTGAATGAGTCATTACAGTCATATTGGATGAGTCATAACAGTCATATTGAATGAATGTACATTGAATGTACATGGGATGCAGGGTTATTGAAAACGGCTGTATGTTTGGAAAATTCCTGTAAAAAAAGGCCGATTTAAACGGTTTAATACGGTTTCAGGAAGTGCTTTCCGTTTGGTTTAAAATGGCCATTTCAAACGGTATTTTTTTCAAACCAGGGGGGCGCCAACCCATGGGGCGAGTCATATTGAATGAATGTACATTGAGTGATGAGAAATGTCAAGGCCTGGCAATGCACATTTGTGATGTCCGCCAGTGTGAAAGTCAGTCAAGTGAGTCTGTTGTCGTTATAGTGTGCAGTATTGGTGTTGATGAGAGTCGCAATGGAGTTTACCGCAGTGTTGTCTGTAATCACCTCAACTGTCTGTAATCACCTCAACTGTCTGTAATCACCTCAACTGTCTGTAATCACCTCAACTGTCTGTAATCACCTCAACTGTCTGTAATCACCTCAACTGTCTGCATCTGGTTCCTCATTGCTCTTGCACACAATCAGGTGGTGCGGCGGCGCAGGCTGAGCACGGCAGGCTGATCACAATAGCGCACATGGTCTTTGCGCTAGTGCACATTCAAGTCTCAAAGCACAGCTGGCTTGAGTCTTGACGCTGCTCCCTGCATGTTTCCTCATCCCTCAATCACAACAACCAGGTGGTGCGGCGGTGCAGGCTAAGCACAGCAGCGCACAGCACATGGTGATTGAGCCGGTGTTTGACGGATTTGAGCAGCAATGCCATCATGCACCTCTCTGCATGTTTCTTCCTTGCCTCTCACACACATCAGGTGGTGAGACGGCGCAGGCTGAGCACGGCGGCACACATGGTGTTTGAGCCGGTGTTTGATGCGTTTGAGCACCGCGGCAGCAAGCAGTTCCTCAAGCAGCTCACCTTCCAGCACCCCCTCATCACCACTGAGATCGCCCACGTGCCCACCCACACCGTCAACCGACACGTCATGTGCATCAAGGTACGTTCGTGCGTGCGCGCGCACATCAGGGTAGGTGTGTGGGGGGGGGGGGGAGAGAGGGGGGTGCCTGATGGTCCGTCAAAGGCAACCATTTCTTTCATCACCATGGAGATCGCTGAAGTGCCCACCCCACACCGCCAGTAGACACGTGCGGGTGTGTGTGGTGTGTGCGTGCGTGCATGTGTGCGTGCGTGTGTGTGGAAAGTGGCATCTGCACCTCGATTCAACGTGTCTGCCTGTAATCACTCAAATTCTCATTACTGTTTTCTGCCTGCCGCAATTCCACCACCCTCTCCTCTCTCCCTTCCTCTCTCCCTTCCTCTCTCCCTTCCTCTCTCCCTTCCTCTCTCCCTTCCTCCCTCCGTCCGTCCCTCCCTCCCTCCCTCGTTGACCCTCATCCTGCATCCGCCAACCTGCAGGGGGACAACGACGAGGACATGGACGACCCGGCGCGCAACCAGTACACGCTGCTCGACTTCGCCTCCGTGCCGCCCGACGCCGGCCACCTCTCAGGAAGCACCTTCATCGCGCACAGCCAGTGGGGCTTCGAGGGCCGCTTCACGCTGCTGCACCTCGCCTCCTCCCTCGCCACCTGGCGCCGCTCCCACGGCTGCTTCGGCCCCGCCCGCCTCATGCTCTTCCAGGACGGCATGCTCCGCACGCAGGTGGGCTGCCTGCTGCTTCGGGGGTTGCTGTGTGGAGAGCGGATATGTGTGCCTCTTTCCCCCTCTCCCTCGCTCCCACGGCTGCTTCGGCCCCGCCAGGCTCTTCAAGGACGGCATGCTTCGGTTCGGACGCACGTGGGCTGCCTGGGTCTGCTTGGTTGGTTGGTGGGTGGGTGGATTGGCTGGGGGGTTGGTGGTGGTGGAGGGGGGTTATGTGTACGTCTTTCTCTCTCTCTCTCTCTCGCTCCCGTATCTGCTTCGGCCCCGTCAGCCAGGCCCATGCGCTTTCAGGACGGTATGCTCAGGACGCAAGTGGGTGGGTTGGGCAATTGCGCGTGGGTTATCTGGAGGGGGGAATTGTACGTGGGAATGGAGGGGGGAATTGTAGGTGGGAATGGAGGGGGGAATGGAGGGGGGAATGGAGGGGGGAATGGAGGGGGGAATTGTACGTGGGAATGGAGGGGGGAATGGAGGGGGGAATTGTACGTGGGAATGGAGGGGGGAATTGTACGTGGGAATGGAGGGGGGAATTGTACATGGGAATGGAGGGGGGAAAGTCTGTTCCTCTCCCGCCCTTTCTCTGCTGCGCACATGCGTGCGTGCGTGGGCGCATGCGTGTGAGAATTTGTGTGCCGAGGGCAGCGCCAGCCGTCAAGCCACATGGATTGCGGATGGCGGGGTCACACAGTGCCTGTGGATCGCGATGGTGCTGCGCGGCAGGCAAGGCAACAGTTGCTCAAGCCACGCACTTCCCGTTCCTCCCACACACATGCACCAACGAATCCCCACACACATGCACCAACGGATCCCCACACACAGGTATCAGCATGGGCCAGGCCAGGCACCTGCTCAAGGCAGTGCTGCGGCTGAGGACAGCGCCTTACGTGAGGCCAGTGGGTGGGAAGTCAGTTTAGTGCCACAAACTATGCGCTCCCCCATGCACCCAGTCGCCCACACAAGTGTCAGCACGCGCCAATAATCTGCTCAAGGCAGGGCTGCGGCCAGGGGTAGTGGCTTACTTGAGGTATGCTGTCAATCCACACATGCCGTACCACCCTCCTATTCCCCGCTGCCAACACCCCTACACACGTACAGATATCAACGTGGGCCAGCAACCTGCTCAAGGCAGTGCTGGGGCCACGGGGCTGCACCACCATTCAAACCAAACCACCGCATGGGGTGCTGCCGCAGTGGTGTTGCGGCATCCACCTCTCCTACACACCAACTTACAAATTTTCCCCTCACCCCCCCTCCTCTTCTCCCCTTCCCCCCCTCTCACCTCCCCTCCTCTTCTCCCCTTCCCCCCCTCTCACCCCCCTTCCTCTTCTCCCCTTCCCCCCCTCGCCGTCTCCCTGTTCCCTTCCCTCCGTTCCACTGGCGCCCCACCGCACAGATATCAGCGTGGGCCAGCAACCTGCTCAAGGCAGTGCTGGGGCCGGGAGCAGCGCCGCCGTTCAAGCCACCGGACGGGGTGACGCCGCAGTGCCTGGAGAACGCAGTGGTGCTGCGGCAGCGGGACACCTTCAACGCCGATGAGTGCAGCAGCGACGCTCAAGAGCTGCGACGGATTGTCCGTGCCTTTTGCCAGTGAGTGGTGCTGTGAAGAGTGCTGGAATACTCTGTTTCTGACTTGCGCCTTGATGAGTCTGTGTGTGCTTGAATCGACTTAAAGCAATGTCTGGAGAATGCGGTGGTGCTGCGGCAGAGGAACACCTTCAACGCTGATTATTGCAACAGCGACGAGCACAAACTCATGTGAAATTACACGAGTTTTGAGGCGCCTTAACACTCGCCTCACCCGAAATCTCAAAATTCTCAAGAATGCATACGAGAGAACTCATGCCGCTTGACTTCCCACACTGCTCGCTTCCCACCTCTTCCCTCCATTTGTCCATCATTCCCCCCCCCAAAACACCTGAGTACCAGCAGTGCAAGCACCGGAGGACCCCTCTCCACTGCTGGAGGAGGAGGGCATGGACGCAGCAACTCATACACAAGATGTGAGGCCATTCAACCTTCTCCACTTCCCCCGTCCCAACTCCTCCCTCTGTACCCCCTGCTTCCACTGTCCACAGCACCCGGGTGCCAGCAGTGCCAGCACCAGAGGACCCGCCAGCGCTGCTGGGGGAGGAGGGCATGGACGTACGCATTGCGTTTGCGGGCGACGCGGACAACTGGGCGCGCATGCCGTGGTTCAACTTCTCCCTCGCCGCCACCTGGATCCGCCAGGAGTGCGCCGTCTTCTCGCTCTCCTGCGAGGTCGCCACGGTGCCAAGAGGGGAATTCTGCCGTGTCAAGGTGAGCGCCTGTGCCTGTGGGTCAACTGTCAAGGGATGCTGCAGAAGGCCAGTCAGCGCTGTTGCCCTCCCGTCCTGCCCTCTCTCTCACCTTCTTCTCTCCTCCGCTTCTCTTCTTCCACCTTCCTTTCCTCTTCCCTTTCCTCTGCTTTTCTCTCAGCTCTCTCTCGCTTCTCTCTCAAGTCCCTGTTCTGAACTCACCAGACTTCTTTCATCTCACAGGTTTCTTCTGTTCACAACCCTATCCTCGTTAGAAGCTCTAACCCATTCTTCTGTCCCCCTGCTGCATCTCACTCCCCACAGGTTTTGGGCCTGGGCCGAGCGGACATCGTGATTGGTCCGTGGGGAGACCGGGCTTTGGACAACATAGTGTTCCTGCTGCCCGGCACAGCCGTGCTGGAGCTGTACCCATCCAACGCACATGAGGACGACCGCAAGACCGCCAAGCTCGAGGCCGAGTGCCTTGACCTCGCTTATGAGCAGGTGGGGGGTCGTGGTCAGGTGGGGAATGGTGAGCAGGTGGGGTGGTTCGATTGAACAGGTGAATTGTAATGTCACTCCCTGTCATCTCACCCCCTTCCCCCGTCGCACACATGCATGCATGAGCTCTCACACCGCACTCCTTACCTTCCTTGCCTTCCCCCCTCGCCCCCTCAGATGCGCATGGACGTGGCGATGAAGGACGTGCTGTCGTGGGTGAGCAAGCACCTGGAGACGCTGGGGCGCCGGCAGAAGGGCGCCGCCGAGGATGGCGAGCCCACCTTCCTCGAGACCTGTGTGCACCGTAACCTGCGCTACTGAGTGGGCGAGACGAGGGAAAAGAGGGAGTAGAGGGAAATCGAGGGGGGGAAATCACTTTTGAGAATTCTCAAACCGCAACCTGCAATGCTGAGTGGGCGATGGGGAGGGAGAAGAGGAAAATCGAGAGGGGGGAAGGGATGAGCCCACCTCTGTGTGCAACGCTACTTGCGGTACTGAGTGGGCGATAAAGAGGGGTGGAGGGATTGGGAAGGGGGAAAGAGGGGACGAGGGGGAGGGGGAGGGAGAGCCCACCTTTCTTAGTGTCTGGGTTGGGAAGCGGAATGAATGAACTAGGCAGGATGGGGATACACATAGGGTACCCTAAAGAGGGTTGTGCCCTCTAAAAAGCACCTCCATGTTAATGTCAGAAGATTGAACGAGAATGGATGCATTGAGCAGAAAGTTGGGTACAAGTGCTAACCCTAATTGGGTTGTACCCCACTACAGCCTACACAAATGTAAGCACTGTAACATTCTGATACACCCCCATAGGCAAAGTGGGGGAGAACAAGTGGTCACAAGACCAGTCAAGAAAACCAAAACAAACTCAGGGTGGATCACGAAGTCACCACACATTCTTAGCACAAGCAAATGCCACAAGGCCAGTTCACATGTAGAGTTATATAAAAGAGAACAAACAGTACAGTGATCACACTCAAGCAAGTGTAAGCATGCAGGTATATATATAGATCACAGTACAAGCTAAGTCACGTGAGCAAGTGAGGCAAAGTAGGCACCAGGCCTAAAATAGTACAAAAACGTTGATGATCACCAGATTGAAGTGCCTTGGTGAATATATGACCAGTGTTGGCCCGAGTGGCCACGTAAGTAAGACGAAGCTGACCACGCTGCTGCAGCTCTCGAGCAAAGAAATAACGCAGAGCTATGTGCTTCGTTCTGTGCTCCAGTCTGTGCTCCTAACACAAGGCAATCATGGCCTTGTTGTCTACATACAGGACTGGAGAAGAACGAGGCCGCTCTCCCAAGTCGGTCAGCAGGTAGGTGAGCCAGCGTAACACCTGTCCAAGAAGTGTCTGCGTGTCCAGTGAGGACAACTGGACCCCGTCCTCAAAACACGAGCCCCATTCCCGATGTACTGCACAAATAGAGCAACACCCTCTTAACGGCCTCCCAGTGCTTTGGTCGGTGTTTCCCTGGCGCAACGTAGCGTGCCAGGATGGTAAGAGGGTAGGCAAGGTCAGGTCTAGTGCAGGTCATCAAGTACATGAGGCAGCCCACAAGCTCTTGATACAGGCCACTTGGCTCTACGGACTCGTCCGAAGGTGGAGCTGAGAGCGAGTGACCGGTAGGCAGAGGAGTGGATTGTGGCAAGGAGTACCGGAAGCCGAAGCGGTGAAGGATGTGGTGCACGATGTGTGACTGAGTCAGGGTGATGGTGCGCCGTGCTCTGTCCCGGGTGATCTGCAACCCAAGATAGCTGCGCAGCTCACCCAGGTCAGTGTAGGTGTGTCTCTTCTGCAGCTCCGACTTCACAAGGGCCAGTGCCTTAGTGTCAGCAGTGGCAAAGACCAAGTTGTCGACGTACACGAGGACGTAGAACGGCGGCAGCGAAGTGTCGGTGCGCAGAAACAGCGACGGGTCAGCATTAGAAGGAGCAAACCCAAGAGCCGCAAGCGTCGTCTTTAGTGTGTCGTGCCACTGGTGAGGCACATGGCGGAGACCGTAGACTAGCCGTCGGAGGCTCGACTAGGTACCTGCAGGAAATGACCCAGTGAAGCCAGGTGGGCGGCGCAGCCAGATCTCCTCGTGCAGGCTGCCCTGTAAGAAAGCTGTGCTGAAGTCAAGAGAGTGCAGCTCCTAGTTACGCTGAGCTGCCACGTGCACCAGATCCCGAAGAGTGGTCATCTTCGAGGTAGGGGAGAAGGTCTGGAAGAGGTCAACTCCCTGTCGCTAACGAGCATTGAAGACAGGCAGAGAACTCGGCGGCCGCTTCACCCTGAAAATCCACATGCCATCGACTATATTCGCCCCAGAAAGGGGAACTGCGTCGACGTAGGTGCCTGTGGACTTCCAGGATGCCATCTCTGCGTCCATGGCTGTCTGCCACTAAGAGGAGTAGGGACCCGTAATCGCCTCTGCGTAAGAGCGCGGGGTCGGGATGTCTGGTGCATCCGGGTCTCCCTCAGGTGCAAGCAGCATGGCCACGAGATGAGGTACAGCAGCTGCAAGACACTCAAAGTCCTCCTGCCTATCTCCAAGGACGTCCGTACCAAGAGCACACTCACCCCCGACAAACGGAGGACAGTCAGACTCAGACTCAGCAACAAGACTAGTTGCGTAGTCGAGACGACAGGCGGTTGCAAAGTCAACAAGCTTAGCAACTAGGGCAGACGCAGCAGTGGAATCAAACGAAGGGTCAGTGATAACAATGGCTAGAAGACGAGGGACAGTAGGACTGGCACCACAAGCTAAGTCAGACTCAGGGTCAGGAACGGTAGGAAGAGAGGATGCAGGAGGAGGCGGCAGGGGAACTCGCAGTGGAACAAAGGAAGGACGAAGTGCCATAATGTGAGTGCCAGGGACAGGAGGAGGACGCGGACGAGGAACACGACGACCAGTGCGAACAGCGCAAACAGGCGAGGCAGGACGAGACTCAGGCTCACGACGCTGTGTAAAAGAGTCTGTCTACTCAGCGTAAGGAGAAGGAGTAGGCAGTGGGGATTCTGGCTGTAACTGTGGCTGCAACTGGTGAGGCGGTGGACTCACTAAGTTAGGAGGAAGGCCAGTAGAAGACGGGAGAGTAAGAACCTGGCGAAGGACCGAGTCAGGTGGCGGCAGAGATGACGGTGGCGGCGGAACAAAAAATGGTCGCCGCTGTACAGTGCCTCCAGCACCAGTACCGCCAGCTCTAGCACCCCCAGCACAGCACCTCCAGCTCCAGGGTCTCCAGCTCCAGTGCCTCCAGCTCCAGCGCCTCCAGCTCCAGCGCCTCCAACTCCTGGGTACCAGCTCCTCCAGCTCCAGCGCCTCTAGCGCGAGTGTCTCCTGCTCCAGTGCTTCCAGCTCCAGCGCCTCCAGCGTCAGTGCCTCCAGCTCCAGCAAATCCAGCGCCAGGGTCTCCAGCTCCAGCTCCTCCAGCTCCAGCGCCTCTAGCTCCAGCGCCTCCAGCTCTAGGGTCTCCAGCTCCAGCTCCTCCAGCTCCTGCGCCTCCAGCGCCAGTGCCTCCAGCTCGAGGGTCTTTAGCTTGAGGGTCTCCAGCTCCAGCGCCTCCAACACCACTAGAACCGGCAGCTCCAGTATCTCTAGTACGAGCACCTCTAGGACCAGCAGCTCCAGCACCTCTGGTAACTCAAGCTCCAGCATTAACACGAGCACCTCCAAGACTAACAGCTCCAGCACCTCCAGCTCGAGTGCCTCCAGTAGAAGAGCCTCCAGCTCCAACACCTCCGAAGGCGTGTGCGCTGAGCAAACTACTTGCGCAGCTGCAGTAGTGAGAGAGGCTCTTGCCGGGGAGACAGTCATGGCGAGGAATCCGCAGGACCTCCAGCAGACGTAGTACCTCTAGGCTCAGCACTCCCAGACTCCGCACCCTCTGACTCAGCACCCCCAGGCTCCACACCCTTAGGCTTAGTACCACCAGGCTCCGCACCCCCTGGCTCAGCACCCCCAGACTCCGCACCCTCAAACTCAGCACCCCCAGGCTCCGCACCCTCACGCTCAGCACCCCCAGGCTCCGCAGTCGCAGGCTCAGCACCCCCAGGCTCGGTAGTCAGTGTGAACAGACTCGACCCAGGCCAACGGGTAAACGTGGCCAGGTGACGGCCCATCCGTGTACACGTGCAGATCGACACACGCTGACCCCCAGGAGTGGTGGTAGTGACCATCGCATCCTGGAGGGCAGCTGTACTCACCAAGTTCGTAGAGAACGAGGGGAGGTGAAGACCCGACAGTGAGGCGGACGGAACCGCCAGAGACGGGAGAACAGTAGAAGAACGGGCAAGAACTAGGCCCCCAGAGAGGTCAGCCAGTCGGACCGGAACAGGTGCACGGATTGGAGTGAGGGTGGTACTATCGCGAAAGAAACAGCAGGAAGCACCTAAGTCAAGCGTAAAGGTGTGCAAGGCCTCAGCAAGCGCAGTACCAGGGAGAGCAGACTCACTAGCACCTAGAGAACCAGCCTCTATACCTCGGTCGGGCGGCACACATAGGTAACAGTCACCCTCAGCACTAACAGTCAAGGCATACATGGCAGCAAGGATAGCATCATAGTAAAGAGCAAAGATATAAACCCTAGACCTAAGCAGCTCTGACCAGCGGGGGTGCTCAGCCTCGTCGCCAAACTCTGCGTGCCAAGTGTCGTCAAGGCGGGAGAAGCAGCGGTGCTGAGAGTGAAACTTCCCGCATGTCTGACCAGCACGGTCACCCGTGCGAATCACACACGGGCAGCAAACACTACCCCCATACGCCCCTTGCTGAGCAAACCACTCAAGAAGCTGCAGGGGTGTAGGGGTCTCACTCCGACGCTGCTACTGCTGCCTCTTGCCACCGCCAGGGCCTCCCCTCTGAACAGCTCCAACCCGACCGCCACCACTGCCGCTGCCACCACTCCCACTGCCACCACCACCACCACCCCCAGCGCTGCCACCACCGCCGCCACCGAAGCCCCCACTCCCGCCACCACTCCCACCGCTGCCACCACCTCCGCCACCTCCACCGCCTCCACTGCCTCCACCACCACCACCCCAGCTGCCACCGCCACCACCCGTGCCACCCTTGCCCTTGCTGCTGCGGCGCTTCCCACTAAGAGCAGAAGTAGCCCCGAAATCCTCAGCACCAAGGATGTCAACAACAGCAGCAGAAGCGTAGGAGGGGGCAAGGGGGGAGGGGGAACACCCCTCAAAGAATTGTGTGCGAGGTGTGCCACAAGCAGCACCTACAACGACTACGCTAGTATCAGCTGCAAGGAGGTGCTTCTCGAGCAGGTCGACAGTGAGGTTTGTGGGATCAAGTGCGAGAAAGTGGTCCCTGACTGCGCGAAG